ATCAGCATCTCTAGGATGGCAAGTCTACATTGCTTGGTTTTTAGAAATGATGTTCACAGGCAAAGCTTATAGCCAGTGTTCTTTAGAACTCCTCATGGTACAGACTCTTCCCTCAACTATATGATGCCACAAGATGACTCATCTGCAAAGTGAGTGGCTGTTAATATATGTCAAAGATAGACAGCTTAAGAAAATTATATATGCTCACCCTACATGCATAGAATATGCTCATATGCTCAGTTTTTGGTTCAGCTCTAGAAAAATATAGAGAACCTCTGACTTTTCATTTCTATATATTATGGATTAGGTAGTAACCAAGAAGTGTAACCTTGGTTAGGAAAGTTTTTCTCAGTTTAATGAGTTTTAATTTGCACCCAGAAAAGAAGCACATATCTTTTAATAATTTCACTAATGACATTCAATTGATACAAACAGTCTATATTATATCATTTAAATTCTATTAATTTTAATATCCATTTAAGGTTACCTTTAAGTTTGAATGTCAGTATTATTTTGTTGTTACAACATCAGGTGCCAGATATATGTATTCCATCTAGTCTCCATCTGAGGATTATCTCTGGGAAAATTTCTACCTGATTCCTCCTTTCTAGTTAGAGAGAAATTAGTCTTCAAACAGGAAAGGAAAGGGATCAAACTTGATATTATTTCTCAAAGTCTCACTTTTCTTTTCCTGGGGCCCAAGCCAGAGCTTGTATAATTCCCCATTTTTATCTCTTTCTGAGTAGCATTTACTGCATGAATCCCAGTTGTCATTTCTTTCCATATTTTTGACCCCAAAATAGCTAACCCTTCAGGTCAAGACAACAAGTGAAAATATCAAGGCCACTGATTAAATGTGAAAACTCATCAGGTACATAACACCAACTACTGAATGTTCTTTTTGAGCAGACTCCTGTTAAAGTTGACAATAGGAAGACAAGGCAGATGCATGTCTCCTTGCCCTAAAAATCTTGAAATGATTATGAGGTATTGACAAGATGGCTCTGTGATTAAGAGCACTTACTGCTCTTGCAGAGGGCTAGAATGTAGTTCTCAGTACCCATGTTGCAGCTCACAATCTTCTGTAATTCTAGTTTCAGGTGATTCAACAGCTTTTTCTGGTTTCCACAGGCACCTCCACATGAATGTACACACACACACACACACACACACACACACACACAAATAAAAATCTTTAAAAAAATTATGGGATGAACACAATTAAAATGCCACCATGGCAACCATCTTGTGTGGCTATGGGTTGATATACTATGCCTTGGACTGATGAAAGGAATGTGTAAAACAAGAAATGAATGAACTAGACCGATGATTTCCTGTCTGTGGGTGATGAGCTCTGGCCAACCTAAAGAGTTTTTAAGTAGGTCTTACAAATCCTTAGGCACTAACTTTCAATGTGTTGATTGAATTGACACTTCTGTCTGTCTGGTTATGCATGTGCATGGTCCTGCCAAATTTCCTGAATTCAAATCCTATTTGACAACTTCAACAAGCTGCCTAACCTCTCTATGATGTAATTTCCTCATTAATAAACCACATAGACTTGGTAGAAGGAACAAAATTGATAAGATGTATTGCATACTTATCCTTTCCTCTGACCGAGAGAGAGTATGCTGTTTATGAGATACACATATTGTGAGGAAACAGGTTTACTGTCTTTGCAACAGTTCATATCCAATATTGTATGGACCTTGGTTTTATTGAACACACAGAGGAAGCCAGCACATTGGCCCTTCGGTTTCCTGATTTTGAAAGAAGTAGGCGGTGAATAGTCTGCGTTCTTATGCTTCTCTTTCAAACATGGTGTGCAAGACAATGAAGTTCTGGTTAAAAGTTCCTCACTCTGAATCCAGCTTCAAGGACACCTCACAGAACAAAAATCCCATCATTTATGCAAGGCCATTAGAGTTTTATGTCCGTGCTCCTGAAAGTGAAATACAAGGTAAGTCTTTTGGGAGATGGCAATAGGTTTAAATCTGAGCATGAGATGCTATTATGCATTAATCACACATGTTCTCCGATTCAAAATCCTGTGGTAAGAAGTGAGATTCTACATATTGTACTGATTTTGTTAAGCACACATTCCTTCTTTTTTGGTTTCACCATTTAACTGTCAACAACCTTACAGGGCATAAAGGGGTTTCTTAGATTATTTGGTACCCTGTGCTTACTGATCCCTTTCAGAATCATGTTTTCAAATACATGCTCATCATAATAATAACTACAAAGAAACCCAATTAGTTTAAAATATTATTTCCATGCATTAAACACATGTTCTTAATGAAGATAAACTGAGTACAAGAAATGCACAGCCACACCATCCAGACAGTGGATATAAAATAAACTTGGAGGACATTTTACAAGTAAGGTTAAAATGTATTAAAACTATAATAAGCCTGGTAAATGAAGTTCTTATTTAATCTTGATGAATTTTATTTTATTTCTTCAGAGTTTTTTCTTGTTTATTTGCTCATTTTAGAAATACATTCTAGATATAAGTGCATGGTTTATTCTTTCTGATGTTTATATTGCTAGTTTTTTACTTTTCTAGAGTCAAAAATACTATAATTTTTAAAGTTTTATTATATTTCATTGGTTGAACCCCCCGTTTTTCTTCTGTTGGTGCATCTAAAGCATCTTCATTTCATTGTCTTACTGTTGGACACTTAAGTGTAAGCTTTAGATGGTAAAGTAAAAAACAATGACCTCACTAACAAACCCACTCTCTTCAGACTAGGCAAGTACCTCTCAGGGAGCTCACTCCTGCTCCACATGAGTAGGAGCTTTTGGACAGTGTGTAGACTTCATGGAAAGTCCTTGGAGAAGCCATGTGAGCCACAGTAAAGTGACAGCAATTCAGTCAGTTTTTTTTTTTGGTTTTTACGAGACAGAGTTTCTCTGTATTGTTTCGGAGGCTATCGGTCCAGCCCGGCCTCGAACTCACAGAGATCTGCCTGCCTCTGCCTCCCGAGTGCTGGGATTAAAGGCGTGCGCCACCACCGCCTGGCAATTCAGTCAGTTTTATTGAAGGACCTCTAGTCTAGGGAAGAGAAATCTCCAAATTCCATAACAAATTCTCATCAATGTGTGGGGTATAATCTGCCTCCATCTCTCCCAAGATCTATGAACTCAAACATTACCATCCCAGCAACTCAAGCCAAGACCCTTCTCCATTCCTCCTTAGTTTCCCTCCAAACAAAAATCCCTTCCTGATCTTTCTCTTTTCTCATGAATCTAGAAAGTACTGAGATTGCTCAAGATTCATTGCCATGGGAAACCAATTATTGAAGAAAGAATCTTATGTAGGTTTCTTACAGCCTTAACCCAGCCCAAATATTTCTATTATAATTATTTAGCATATAATGTTAGTGTAAGTAATATTACATAATTATCAAACATTTCTCACATGCTAAAAGCTGTGCAATGTGTTTTACATACAAGATTTTTAGTTAATCTTATAATGAAGCAAAAGTCTAGATATCACTGTTCCTACTTTATAAGTAAAATCCAACTACATAGTTAATAGAAGTACCTAACGTCTGCTCTTTAAATACCAACAATGTGCAGCTTTCAAAAACTAAAAGTTGAAGAAGACAGGAAGTTGATAAGGAACATGGAAAAGAAATCTGGAATTAGTTTCAGGGTATGTGTGCAGATATGATGAAATAGTTTAAGTTTTTAAAACAAAAAATTAAGTGAAAAAATCCACTGGCTATTCCATTAAAGCTCTTTCACTAAAATGTAAGATGAATAAATGTTCTTGAGTCATGTTCAGTATCATATTATATTCCCTAATTCCATGGAAAGCTGGAATTTCAGAAAGATACCATGTAGCACAATTTTATGTTTAATTCAGCAGACTTCAATTCTCTTGGAGGAAGAACACATCAAGATGCATGGTATCCCAACCACTTCAGTGTGAGATGTGCTTAAGCATATGGTTCCCACCTATTCCAGAGATTTGGCAAATAGAAAACATTTGAGGATGAAATACAATATAGATATTCATTTTTGTCATCATCTCCAGGATCATTGGCAATGTCAGATCTTAATCCAAACTGAAAGAAACTAGTGAATTAGTCAGAGCAGCCCTGATAAAAAGGAGATCTAGTGTGCATCTAAAGGAGAAACATATTCATTTTCAATGATGATAAAACTAAAAGTTGACCAAAGCTGGGATGCAACTAAAATTAAGATGTCTCAGTTCCGTAAGTGAAGGCTCATTATCTACCTCCCTTGTCATGAGCCATATCAGAACCCAGTAGAGGAAGAGCCCCTGAGACTATCTGCAACGAACCAATCAGATAGTAGATCACAGTGCATCAGATGGAGACTCTCAGACTAAGCAAATGAGCAAGAGGATCTGTAACTGAGAGGAATCTCAAGCATTTCACTCATTGTTCTCCATGATCTGGAGTGTTCTTAAATACAGTATCATAATGGCTAAGAGGTTGGTTTCAGGATTACACTTCTTACATGTTTAAACCCCAAATTCTCCATTTAATAGGTTGAATCAAAGCACAGATTACTTAAACTTTCTAATATCTATTTTTCTATGATAAAATATGGATTGTAATAAAATCTAATTGATTTAGACAGTAATATCTAACTCATAAGATTTTTTTTTGTGAACAGTCTCTGATATATTCAACACAGTGACTGACACCCACCAAGGGATTCAATAGTACTTATTTTATTCTATACTCCATGCTTCTAAGTTGCAAACCAAATACTTTTACATTGAATGACCCCTTAAGGAAGTTTGTGGCTCTGCTTAAACTCATGGTCCTCACCCCCAGATTCTAGGTATACGGCTAAAGGTACAATGGGAGCAAATGGGTGACTATAAAATTGCCCAATTTGGCACAACCCTATTATTATCTCTGGAGAAAGCCAAGCCCAGGCACAGCTGATGAGTTAACCAGATACGATGTAGAAAACATTTCCTTCTCCTTTTTGGTTTCAGCCTATTTTTGAAGCCATATAGCTCTCCGGCACAGTGAGCACCTGAAGGCACAGAGGCAATGGATACTGCCACTGGAGGGTCTCTCAAGCTGTGGCTAAACCTGCTTTTTATCTGTAAGTACTGATTCACATTACTTTCCACTCCAAGGGACCAAAATGCACTTAGAGAGCTTCAGGGTGGGAACATTGATGGTTTTTGGGTGACTTTGCAGCATATATTCAAAGCATGGGGACGATTCCCAGCACTGTATAGCAGAGAGGTGCAGAGGAAACTAGCCTGAGCATCACCTCAGTGGGAAAGCATGTTAATAGCTTGGATCTTTTCAGTCTTCAGGCATCTATTAGAGTACAAGACAGATACCAATAAAGGTGAAAAGAGGAAAGAAAGGAGTGCCTTCTCCTCACTGATCTTTAAAACTTCATGGATGTGGATCTCAGTTCCATGCCAATCCTAGTCTTCTTGTGTCCTGTAAAACCGGAGCTAGATACTAACTTACCCTTTATTAATTTTGCAGCTCTGGGTGTCGCGCTAGTGGGTGAGTTCTTTGTCCTTATTCCCTCTGTGTTTCTGAACACTGCTCCCTTCCTCTGTCTGTATTCGTTATGTTTTCTTACGACTCTGAATTTTCTCCTTCCCAGAAAGTGTGTTTTCCCTCTTCCCCACCTTTGTATTCCCAGCCCTAGGATTTCCCAGATACCATTTTCCCCTCTGAAGTCACCTCCTCTTCTGGTTAGGACAACAGCCATGTCTGCACTGCTGTAAGCCTCTCTTCTAGGACTTTCACATACACTCATCCAACTTTCATATTACTACCATTATTACTATTTTATAATTGAGAATACCATAACTCAGATTACATCACCTACTTGGGGGCTGCACAACCAACAAAAACTGGGTTCTATCATAAGTCCCTTGGGTCTAAATATAATATACCTTGACTATATCATCCTTTGCCATCACCACAAGCTGCTCTATAGCTTCTGTTTGAATTACCACCACATCTCCTTGTCCCTGGAAACCATTCAAGGCTGACACCCTCTTGATGCTTTCCACAAACATTTCTTACTATATATATTCACAATTAAATAGTTAAAAATTTAGAACTAATAGTTTATCAAGCCTATTATATATTTTATTTTAATTAATATAATTTATTTACCTTGTATATTAAAATATAATAATACTTGCTATAGTCTGGAATGGTTGACAGTTGCTCCTGATATTTTTAATGAAACTGAGGTTTTAATATTTATCCTTTATTTCTACATTGAACCATTCAATAATTATTTTGCAAACATTAACTATGTACCAACCATTATGGGGTGTGTGTCAAGTATCTCTACATAAAAAAGATTGAAGTTTTTATTTACAAACACTGATATTGAAGTTTAGAGAATGAGAGTAGTTATGACATCATATAATAAATTATTTCACTTGTTTCCAAACTTCTTGTGTTTGAATCATATCTTCATGCCTAGACTAGTTGCTCTCTGAGTCCACATCACTATTTACTTCATCCTTTATTGCTTTTCTTACACATCAAGACCGATTCTTGTCACTAACAAGATGGACCATTGTTTGACATTGACATGTTTGTACTCTTGAGACTGGATAGTTTTCAATCACTTAAAATTTCTTTATCTTTCCAATTTTACTTTCTTTAAGCCACTCAGAAATCTGTTGTGTCCTTGAACCCACCATGGATTAGAATATTTGCAGGAGATAAAGTGACTCTTACATGCCATGGGAACAATTCCGTTCAAGAGAACTCTACTAAATGGTTCCACAATGGCATGATCTCTAAGGTAACAACTTCAAATTGGGACATTGCCAGTGCCACCATTCAAGACAGTGGAAAATACATATGTCAGAAGCAAGGATTTTACAAGAGCAAGCCTGTGTACTTAGAAGTGACAAAAGGTAAGTTCTTGGGATATGGGAATACATATCTTTCGTGGGAAGAATGGCCCACTAGAACAGTGGTTCTCAGCCTTCCTAATGCTGCAACCCTTTAATATAGTTCCTCATGTTGTGGTAATCCCTAACAATAAAATGTTTCTACTGTTATGAATCATAATGTAAATATTTGTGTTTTCCAATGCTCTTATGTGATCCTTTTGAAAGGGTCTCCGCCCCCTGCCCACTCCCCCAAGCCTGAGGGGTCATGACCCACAGGTTGAGAACCACTGCACTAGAAGATGGTAGGAACATAGGTTATTCTGAGAGATTCAGGACTTTTCACTCAAGATATCTTAGTGTCTTTTCTTCTGCACCACTCCTTAAGTCCTCTCTCTTAATTGTCTATTCAGTCATCAATATTATTCCTCTGCTCTGTTTTTTTATATCTTAACTACATATAGGCCTGTGTTCTCTGACCAAATGGCATGCTAGGCAAATGGACACTGCAAAGAGCTCTGTATGTATATAGGATCATCATGTTGAGTAAAGATTTGCTATGAACAATCTGTGAGCCATGAAAGATTCCTCTGCATGGTCTTCATGTCCTTTACTGTTACTAAAAATAATTCTATTGTTTATTTTGATACAAGTATTGCTTATTTATTACTCTTTTACTGCCAAAACCTAATACATCATATCTAGGTATCAGTAAACATTGGAAGAGCAAACTATTGTTCAAATGGAAAAGTTACACGATATATTTTTCTTGAGTAAAAAGATATGTTTTAGCATCTATAAACCAATTCAAAATATAGACCAAACCATGCAAAACAGTTATTTATTTACTGGTAGTAGACTTTAGAGAAATCCTCAAATGGTTTTTTTCTTAAATACAGTATGCTTGCACAAGTTATATATATTCTCAGTAAAAACTCTCCATTTATGAATGTTTCACAATTCTATTTTTGTAATGTTTTTATTTAAATTAGAAATATGGATGCTTCACATTTTAATCCCAGCTCCCTCTCCCACCCCTCCACCAGCCCTCCAGCCCCCCACCCAATCCCCACATCATTCCCCAGGGAGGTGGAGGTCCTCCTTGGGGGGGATCTCTAAAGTCTGTCATTTCATCCAGGGCAGGACCTAGGCCCTTCCCCATGTGTCCAGGCTGAGAGAGAACATCCCTCTATTTGGAATGGGCTCCCAAAGATCATTCATACATCATAGTAAACACTGATCTACTACCCAAGGCCCCAGTGATTTCTGTGGCCTCCTCACTGAGACTACATTCATGGAGTCTGGATCAGTCCCTTGTTGGCCTCTCAGGCATCAATCGGATTCAAGAGTTCTCCCTTATCCTGTCAGGTGTCTTTGTGGGTTTCACCATCATGTTCTTGACCCCTATGCTCATCACTCCTCCATATCTGTCACTAGGTTCCAGGAGTTCAGTTCAGTGTTTAGATGTGGGTATCTGTCTGCTTCCATCAGTCACTGGATGAAGGTTCTAGAATGGCATATAAGGTAGTCATCAACCTTACCATCAAGGAGGGGCATTATATGTAGTCTCTCCACAATTGCTTAGTTTGCCAGTTGATGTTATCCTTGTAGATCTCTGGAGATCCCATTAGTGTCAGCTCTCTCCTCTAGCCTATAATGACTCGATCTATTATGGTAACTTTCATCCTGCTCTCCTCTATTCTTACGTCAACTCAACCTTCCTGCTCCACCATACCTTCTTCTCCCCTCCTCTTATGTCCCTCTCTTTTTCCTGGCCCTCTCTCCCCTCCTCCAATGTTCTCAATCTGCTCAGGAGACCTTGGCTCATTCCACTTCTCTGGGGTATCATGCATCTCTCTTGGGAACCTCCCTGTTTCCCAGATTCACTGGCACTGGGATTGTAGGCTGAGACTCCCCTGATCCATATTTAAAATCCATATATGAGTGAGTACATACCATTTTTGTCTTTTTGTCTCTGGGTTACCTCACTCAGGATGGTTTCCTCTAGTGTCGTCCATTTGCCTGCAAATTTCAAGATTCCATTGTTCTTTTTTCTGCTGAGTAGTACTCCATTGTGTAAATATACCATATTTTTTCTATCCACTCTTCAGTTGTGGGGCATCTAGGTTGCTTCCAGTATCTAGCTATTACATATGATGCTGCTATGAACATAGTGGAACACACATCCTTGTTGTGTGAATGGGCATCTTTTGGGTATATTCCTAAGAGTGGAATTGCTGGGTCTTGTGGTAGACTGAGTCCCATTTTCCTGAGTAATCTCCATACTGATTTCCAAAGTGGGTGTACAAGTTGGCACTCCCACCAGCAGTGGAGGAGTGTTCCCCTTTTTCCACATCCTCTCCAGCACAAACTGTCATTGATGTTTTTGATGTTAACCATTCTGACAGGAGTAAGATGATAATCTCAGAGTTGCTTTGATTTGCATTTCCCGAATGATGTTGAACACTTTCTCAAGTGTCTCTCAGCCATTTTATACTCCTCTATTGAGAATTCTCTATTTAGTTGTGTAGCCCACTTTTTAGTTGGCTCCTTTGGTGTTTTGGAGACTTGCTTCTTGAATTCTTTGTAAATTTTGGAGATCAGCCCTCTGTTAGATGTAGGGTTAGTGAATATCTTTTCCCAATTTGTGGGTTATCTTTTTGTCTTGCTGAATGTGTCCTTTGCCTTACAGAAGCTTCTCAGTTTCAGGAGGTCCTATTTATTAATTGTCGATCTCAGTGTTAGTACTTCTGGTGTTATGTTCAGGAAGCAGTGTCCTGTACCAATTTGTTCAAGGGTACCTCCCATTTTCTCTCCTAACAGGTTCAGTGTGGCTGGATTTATGTTGAGATCTTTGATCCATTTAGACTTAAATTTTATGTATGGTGATAGATATGAATCTATCAGCAGTCTTCTACATGCCAATATCCAGTTATACCAGCACCATTTGTGGAAGATGCTTTCTTTTTTCCATTGTATAATTTTAGCTTCTTTGTCAAAAACAAGGTGTTCATAGGTTTGTGGATTAATCTCAGAGCTTTCAATTAAATTCCTTTAGTCTACCTGTCTATTTTTGTGCCAATACCAAGCTGTTTTCAGGACTATAGCTCTATAATAGAGCTTGAAGTCGGGGATGGTGATGCCTCCTGACTTTGCTTTGTTTGAGAAGGGTTGTCTTGGCTATTCTGGTTTTTTTGTTTTTGCCATATAAAGTTGAGAATTATTTTTCAATGTTTGTGAAGAATTGTTCTGGGATTTTGATGGGGATTACATTGAGTCTGTAGATTGCTTTTGGTATGATTGCCATTTTTACTACATTGATCCTATCTATCCAAGAGCATGGAAGATCTTTCCATTTCCTGGTGTCTAATTTCTTTCTTTAAAGACTTAGGGTTCTTTCTATACAGGTCTTTCACTTCTTTGGTTAGTGTTATCCCAGGTATTTTATGTTGTTTGTGGCAATTGTAAAGGGTGATGTTTCTCTGATTTGTTTCTCAGCCCTTTTATTGCCTGTATATACTAGGGCTACTGATTTTCTTGAGTTGATCTTGTATCCTGCCACTTTGCTGAAGGAGTTTATCAGCTGTAGGAGTTCCCTGGTAGAGTTTTTTTGGTCACTTATGTAAACTATCATATCATCTGCAAATAGTGAAAGTTTTACTTCTTCCTTTCCCAATTTGTATCCCCTTGATATCCTTTTGTTGTCTTATTGCACTAGCTAGAACTTCCAGTACAATATTAAAGATGACAGCCTTGCCTTGTTCCTGATCTTAGAGGAATTGCCTTGAGTTTCTCTCTATTCAGTTTGATGTTGGCTGTTGGTTTGCTGTATATAACTTTTATGATGTTTAGGTATGTTCCTGTTATCCTGGATATCTCCAAGACCTTTATCATGAAGGGGTGCTGGATTTTATCAAAGGCTTTTTCAGCATCTAGTGAGATGAACATGTGATTTTTGTCTCTCAGTTTATTTAAAATGGCATTAGCCATAGAACAAAATTCTTAGAACTTGCTGAATCATTACTGACAAATAATTATTGAGTTAAAAAATCTCTTTTTTTTGTTTTACGAGACAGGATTTCTCTGTATTGTTTCGGAGGCTGTCGGTCCAGCCCAGCCTCGAACTCACAGAGATCCACCTGCCTCTGCCTCCCGAGTGCTGGGATTAAAGGCGTGCGCCACCACTGCCCGGCTGAGTTAAAAAATCTCTTAAACCCTGCGTTAGTTACTACTGACAAAACAGAACTGGATACAGATCTGTACCTTGATACATAGATCTATATAGGGAAGAGGACAGTAAATGAAAATTAGACAAATAGGTAGAATTTGTATACATATTTTAAGGAAGTATTTTAACAAGCTATCATTAACAACAGAACTGAGAAGTGTCTGTGAAGAAAGAGTACACAAAAACAATTCACTTAAGTTCAAATATTTTTGGAGCAGAATGTCTGTCTGCTACCTCTTAATTACACCCAGCTAGAGCAATCTGAAGGGAATTCTGGTCTTTGGGCTTTCCACCTTTGGGATTAGCATCAAGTGTATGCCGTTTTATGGCTCCTGACTGACTTTTCAGAGGAGAAAGGGTTCATTGTATAAATTTCAGGTTATACATATTATTTTGTCTTTGCTCTTTAATTGATCTTACAAACCAAGAAATGGGTTAATGAAACCCCTTTTATGTGTCTGTGGATCTGTCTGTCTGCTCCTCTCTCTCTGCCTCCCCTTCTTCGGACACTTGTCCATTGTTAAGTAAATAACAATAAGCTTATGAATCCTCTTCAGATTGGCTGCTCCTTCAGACTTCTGCTGATATGGTATTAGACAATGAGTCCTTCGACATCAGATGCTATGGCTGGAAGAACTGGAGTCTCCACAAGGTGACCTACTATAAGAATGACTTCGCTTTCAAGTACTTTTATGAAAGTCCCACAATCTCCATTAGAAATGCCAAACTTAATGACAGTGGCGCCTATCACTGCGTTGGCTTTCTTAGGCGGGTGAACTATACATCTGAGAAATTCAGAATTACTGTAATAAAAGGTAAGTTGATACAGAACAAAATAGTCCATAGCAGGGGAAAAGAAAGTGTATGTATGAGCCAGTATTTGAAGTTAGTACAACAAGGATGTCTGTCATCGTCCAGAAAGGTCAATAAACTTGCAACAAGAAGACTAAGGACATATCTCCACAGCTTATTCCTTATTAGCTAAGTGCTGATGGTAATACCTATGCACAAAACAAAATTTTATAAAGATTAATGACATAGTTTTGTCAAATGGCTTTATAAACTGTCAAGTCCTGTCCAGACATAAAAGATCTCAATTAACATTTAAAAATTATCACTTGCTCCTAAGAAGAGTGTTTGTATCTATCAAATTGGGAAACTAAAGAAGCAAGGATGCAAAGAGCTTGAAGAGTCCATATTAGCTGAGGGTTGTGGGAAAGGAAACCAATCCTTTGGTGACCTGTGTGTGCAGGTCCTGAAGGAGGAGAGTGAGTCCGCTGAGGGCAGGCAAGTGGGATGCCTCCATGTCTCATAAGAAAAGTTGCTATTAGCAACCATCATATAAGAGGAGAACTTTGAAATGCTTGCCTTCAAAGGAGGAAATTTTGTTTTATCTTGGTATGCTCATAACTGTCTAGTTGGACAAACTTAGAATTATGGTCTGATGTTTAATTATCCCCAGTTGCATGCTGTGACCTTTAGTACTTCCAAATCTTCAGCTAATGGCATCATGTTTCCATGACTTTCATTGGCTAGAACAGCTAGACAGGGGTTATTGGGAAACATTTATCCCTCTGCAGTGATCTAGAGAGCAGACTGTGGAACCCAGTATCTTGGATGTTTTCTCTCTGTTCCTGGATACCCCATCAGGCTAAGGGTTGAATCATGCTTGTGTCCCTCGTAAGGAAGTTGAATCTCTAAGCACCATTTTTCTGTTTCTAATCTGAATTGTGTAATTGTATCTATGTTCCATTCTAGTTTACAAAAGCACGTATCATTGGCTACAACTAATTGTCCCACTGTTGGTGGTGATTCTGTTTGCTGTGGACACGGGATTATTGATCTCAACCAAGAGACAGTTCAAACTAATCTTGAAGATTCAGAAAACAGGAAAACGCAACAAACCTTGAAACTTAACTCCAAACCTAGGCACATAAAGGAACTGATCACATTGCTGAAGAGACAATTCTTAACTATAATTTTCTACAGTCCTCAATAGTATCTCATCTGTCAAAGGACACTCACATTAGCCACAGAAAAGTCTATGCCCCAGTATTTGCATAAAGGCTTCCTTAAACCCATTGCAGCCAATTAAGTGACATGTAACAGAAAATGCTCAATAAACACTGGCTTAAAATGTTAAAGAGTGAGTTGATTGCTTTATTTCTATTTGTAAAAGAGAAGCACAATTTGAATGAAACAAGTGTGGAATCATGTGGCCTAGTGCCTTTAGTAATTCCAGACTTCTTCATTTGTGCTTTTTTTTTTCTAAAAGAGAGACCCACAGGGGCACAAATTTAAAATAACCTTTCCTGGTCATTATAAGGAGGTAGCAAGAAGACCTAGTATGATACTGGTGAGGTTGGCAATGTTTTGTATTCTGCTTTCCATTACTTGGAGCTTTTGATTCTTGACAAAAATTGAGGTCCAAAGCATAGGAAGTCCAGGATAGGATTCATATGTGATCATTTCAGCCCTGTCAGTTTAACCAATCTTATAGTTGCAACTTGTATCATATCACCAGAGAGGAACAAGGCAAATGGCTTTTGAGAAATCCAGCAAATGATAAACACTGTTTATAGTCCAGGACAGCTGTTCTCAACCTGTGGATCATGATCCCTTTGGGTCAATTTGTAACAATGAAAATACATCCTGCATATCACCTTATGATCCATGACAATAGCAAAATTACAGTTATTAAGGAGCAATGAAAATAATTTTATGGTTGGGTGTCACTGCAGCATGAGGAACTATGAAACTGTGTTAAAGGGTTGCAACACTAGGAAGGTTGAGAACTGCTGGTGTAGGACCTAATACATTGTTGGGTAGGGAAATATGCTTGCCTTTTATCTCATTCGTTTTGTTATCAAGTCATTCACTGAAAGCCTGAATCTGTCTCAGAGTGTGAATTGGATTAAGTTTCTTCCCTGCAAAGATATCCACTAAACTGCACGGTATAAGACATGGATCGAAATCTTTATTCTTTTGCCTTCTAGGTTTGTGACATGAGAAAATATGCTTATATATATATATTATTCATGAGTCAAGTGTCTCATTTCTAAAGCAGTAAGAGTAGGCATCATGTCCAACTCAGCTCCTGCCCATGCTCATGCAGACAATGAGTTGGGGCTTAAGGGGAACTCTAAGGGATGGGGTCCACATCGTCAGTGCTGAACTGGAGCTTATGACAGCACATGAGAGCAGAGGGCCTCGAGTTTGACCAGACTCTAACCTACTGACACGGTGGGAAAAGGCACAAGAGCAATTTCTAATCATCGACTAGACCTGGAATTTTCCTTTTGTCAAGAAAGGTTGATAGGGGTATACATAGCAATTAATTCAGCTTTTTATAAGGTGAGCATATTATCACAGTCCTCATTTTACTCTCATTTCATATGGTAAGGAATGACTACATTCCTGTCACATGGGTTCTTGTAAATAGGTGTGGTGAATACAGAAGAGATTTCTTCCGGAATGCAGGCAGGGGAAAGTCCCCACTGGAAACTCCTTAGTGATTTTATGGGAAATTTCTCTGCTTCCTGTCCAAGCCTTAATTCAGGATAAAGTCTTCAGAACACACTGTTGCCAATATACACAATCGAGACACATTGTTTCTCAGAGTACCCTACAGTGTCTGAGACTCTGGCACTGAGCTAGACAGGAAGTCCCTCCTTTATCTCAGACTTGATCATGATGACAAATTCTCAGTGAGGAGCCAAGAGATGCCTAATGTGGGCAAAAATTCCAGGCTTTAATCAGCTTGAGAGTCTTCTGAGGAATATCTAGGACTCTGCACATCACCGTTCACTTTAGTCTCCTCCATCCTCAGTCAAGCTCAGGGTGGCCATGGACAGAGCAGAGGGATGGAAGTTCAAGCTGCTTCTCACAAGGTGCTGGGCTGGGTCAGGTCACTGGCAAGTCTTTGAGATTCTGTTTTTCCTGTGTGAGAAGGGACTGGACAAGGCAGTTTGTAGTATCTCTTTAATCTAATCTCAGACACTGACACTTGTTATTCTAGGTTCAGAGTCCCAGGAGTCATTTACCACCCAGGGCCAGGGTGGATTTGCTTCCATGCTCCATCACTGGGCACCCAGATCTGTCATTACCTTTCTGTGCTGATTGTCATATGGAAATTCCCAGTTAATTTCAGATCTGTGTCTGCCATTTCTGTTTCATTTCTTTAGCCATCATGGCAATTCACATTCTACTCCAGAAGTAACATAGAAAATTAGCTTAATATTCTAATAGTTACTGGTTCCCAAACTATGCTCTTTCTAAAAGTGTCTTTTTAAAAATATACATGAAATATTTTGATCTATGTCAAAGAGTATGTTCAACAGGTTAGTCAAGGAATTTTCTTTCTTGAGTTACCCTTTTGTCCTCCTGAGTCACCTCTGATCTGCACTAAATTGGTCCAGGACAGAGCATTAAAGTAATATTTTCTCTCTGAAAATAGATAATCACAAATCCTTATGAGTTTCTGATACTTGGGGGATGGGAAAACAGATGCACATGTCCTGGCTTTGTGACCTGAAGATAAATTCCAAGGATGCCTCCAGAATAAAGATTCAGACAAAAGATATATCAGGAGAGACTGTTTGGGAACTAAGTCCTTAGAAGGAATGTGAATTTCTCTTCTCAAATGGGAAACGAAGCACACCCGGAGATGCAGTTTCCTGCTTTGGAGGGCAGAAACTCTCAAGACATCCTAGGTCTGCGTATATCTCAGGTCTGTCTTCCTGCCTTAGATCACCTGCTGAGGTCTAGACGGTTACTTAGCAAGTCCATGCCCCCATCTAGTATTTCAAATGCCATAGTACTTCCACAGTAAAGCTTTAGTTTACTAATGTTCTTAGAATTACTATCAAGTTCACCTGCATATACCTCTTGCAATACCATTATTCTCTCATTTTCAAAACTGAAAAGACTTAAGTGTAATATCGTCTCATTGATGTTCAATATAGCACAGAGGGTGGGCAAAAGAATTTCTGCAATGTGAGGTTAGGATGAAAAGAATCTGAAATTATAGAAAATTAAACAGAAAAGTCAGATATTTATTTCTTAACAAAATTTCAAAATTATTGCGTCATGGTAGATATAACTGAGCACTTGTAGCAACAGTGTACTTTAAAAACTGAAAGCAAGTGTCTCTTGGCCATTTTAGCCTCCTCTATTGAGAATTCTCTATTTAGTTCTGTACTCCACCTTTTAATTGGATCCTTTGGTGTTTTGGAGACTTGCTTCTTGAGTTCTTTATAAGTTTTGGAGATCAGCCCTCTGACAGATAAAATGGCCAAGAGACACTTAAGAAAGTGCTCAACTTCCTTAGCCATCAGGAAAATGAAATCAAAACAACTCAGAGATACCATCTTACTCCTGTCAGAATGGCTAAACTCAAAAACACTGAAGGCAATTTATGCTGGAGAGGATGAGGAGAAAGGGGAACATTCCTCCATTGCTACAGGGAGTGCCAACTCGTACACCCACTTTGGAAATCAGTAAGACGATTCCTCAGGAAAATGGGAATCAATCTACCACAAGACCCAGCAATTCCACTCTTAGGCATATATCCAAAAAATGCACATTCATACAACAAGGACATCTGCTCCACTATGTTCATAGCAGCATTATTTGTAATAGCCAGAACCTGGAAGAAACCTAGATGTCCCTCAACTGAAGAATGGATAGAGAAAATGTGGTACATTTACACAATGGGGTATTACTCAGCAGAATAAAAAACAATGGAATCTTGAAATTAGCAGGTAAATGGATGGCACTAGAAGAAACCATCCTGAGTGAGGTAAACAAACATGGTATGTACTCACTTATATATGGACTTTATATATGGATCAGGATAGTGCCAGTCTGCACTTCCACTGATAGAAAGTCTGGAAAACAGGAAATAACCTAAGAGAGATATGCATGGTACCCCAGAGAAGAAGAATGAGGCAAGATCTTCTGAACAGATTGGTAACATGGTGGGGGGTGGGGGAGAGTGGGAGCTGGGAAGAAGAGAGGGGGAGAAGAGGAAGAGAGAGTAGGTCATGGGGGAACAGGAAGGTTGAGTGGGGGGTAGAGCAGGGGGAAGAGGGAGTCATAAGTTAGAAGACAGATATGGCACCAGTGAGACCTCCAGTGATCTAAAGGGATGACACCAACTGGCAAGCTAAGCAATAGTGGAGAGACCACCTTAAATGCCCATTCCTGATAATGAACTTGATGTCTACACTATATGCCATCCTAGAACCTTCATCTGGTGACTGATGGAAGCAGAGGCAAGCATCTACAGTTAAACACTGAACTGAACCCATGGAACCCAGTGACAGAGAGGAACGATGAGCAAATTAGCAAAGAATGGGCTGGCAAAACCACCAGATACAGCTGATCTGAACAAGGGGGAGCTCTTGAACCCCAGACCAACAGCTGGGAGGCCAGCATGGGATTGATCCAGACCCTCTGAGTGTGAGAGTCAGTGAGGAGGCCTGGGCAACCTATGGGGCCCTAGGCAGTAGATCAGTGTTTATCCCTGGCATACAAATGGACTTCTTGTGTCCATAACACAAAGAGGGATGCTCTCTCAGCCTGGACTCTTAGCGGAGTGCCTGGATCCTGCCCTGAGTGAAATGACAGACTCTAGATATCCCTTATGTAGAAGGAAGTAAGGATAGGGTAGAAGGCTGGGGGAGTGGTGTTGGAGTGTGGGAGGGAGGGAGGGAGAGGGAACTGGGATTGACATGTGGAGTAAGCTATTGAAAATTAAAGTAATAAAAAAAAGGAAAAATGGAAAGGAAGGATCTCATCCACCTGTACTAGGATAAATTAAGGCTAAAATTTGTATTTTCCACAAATGCTGACTGTTGTAGAAGTGGAATTCTAAAGTGCAGCTACAGATTGATGACCCCAGGAACAGACTCGAAGACAGAGGCTTGAATGCAGTACCCACATGTCTGCTGAGGTGAAAGAAGCAAGGTTGAAAGAGGAATGTGAAGTAGTCACAGAGAAACCCCTAAGTCATCCCACATTGATAGTTCTGGACCTGAGATAGTTCTATATAATCATCATAGAAGGGAGACACCATGGAATAGACAAACCATTGGAAGTACCCCCCAAAATGATAAAAACATAGACATGAAGGTCCTTAGCA